AGGGGGGGGGGAGCGCGGAGCGGCTGCTCGGCGGCCCCCGGCCCTTGTCCGCCCCGGCGGTGCGCGGTAACTCGCCGGGAAGGAGCTAGGCCTCTTTGTTAGCGCCGCTGCCTCTCGAGGTGCCCTGGCTCTCCGCCGCCCCAGGCGTCTGCCCGGCCGCTCCTGGGGACAGTTACGGGCCGTGGTTGCTCACCTGCCTCCAGGTAACACCTTAAGCTCCGACTTACGCCCGTTGATGCTTCAGAGGCGAAGGTAACGGTGTCGTGCGGCTCATACCCGAGCCCCGCTCCTAGGAGGGAGAGCCTGCCCTTGCGGGCAAGGTGCCCGAGTGACACGGCCTCCCCGCCACGGTCAAATCGGCTGCTGTCTAGCTGTAACAGCTGGTCAGGTAATTCAGTGTGTAGGTACTCTCCAGCAGTGGAAATGCGAGCCTGTAGTACTGCTGATAGGTAAGTGAAGCCCCTGAAGTGTGTTCGCTTGCGGTCTTTTACGTGAAACTTTATCCAGCAAGTATGTGCTAGCCTCTTTTTGAATGAAATAAATACTATGGTGTGCTTTGTGCTCATTTTTTTCCTTAGTTTTAATTCTTCCACGCAACAATTTCTTGTTGTCTTTTGTTTTTGTCTGTATGCCTTTGTTTTTTTTCCCCTCCCTTCCTTGCAGGACCTGTGGAAAGAAAAGTGGTCGTGAGTCTTCAGAAATTAGATGTGGCTCAGGACAGCCTGGGCAATTACGGCTTCTTCACTCTGATTTACAATCAAGGTTTTGAACTCGTGATAAACGACTACAAATGGTTTGCGTTTTTTAAGGTAATTTGGTGGGTTTTTTTACATCACTGACCGTTACAAAATGGCCTGTACTCGGCCTTCTCCTTAGTCACTAAAAGCCATAGTGGAGTGGTTTGGACACTCGGTTCTTGGCTATACCGTTGGCCTGGGTAACCAAACAAGTGACTTGGTTAATAGAAGGAAATGGTTGTCAGTGGCTGGGCAGGGAGAAGAGGGAAGGAAGAGGTGTTTATATGTCACATTTAGCATTCTCTGAGAAAGGTCACAGATGCTGCTGCCTTCCATTCTGGATATGCTTAGAGCAGCTGAAGGCCTTTGTGAAGCTAACTTTCCCAATGGCCTGGGAAAAATATTTTTTTTCATTTTCCTTCCTAGACGTCTTAGACCCAATTGAAACATTGCTGTAAGTCTTCTCTGTCATTATGAATTAAGTTAGTCAAAAACATGGTCTACTTAGCACTACCTTCCATATTTTTTTACCAGATAGTCTTAAAAACTGCTAAGTTTTGCTCACTGATAGTGTTTTTCTTCTTTCCTAAAAGTTGTTCTCCAGGTACAGGAAAAACAGCCCTCTCACTTTAGAGAGGCCATCCGTTCTCTTCAGTGGAGGTTTTCTAAGACCTTTAAGTCTTTTTACAAAGTGTTTTGGAATTCTTTAAGGAATTGTCCTGCCATTAGAATTGTTCTTCTTTTGGAGTAATACTGTATTTTCCAGTACCTGTTAGTGACTTCAGATCAAGTTGAGGTCAGTGCTAGTGGTCAGTGGGTGGACAGGAGAAGACCCTTTTACCAAGAAGAGAGCACTTAAAGACATTCAGCTAGGCTCTCACAAGATCTAGAGCTCTAGATCTGTGTCTTTCACTGCTGCATGCTATGCCACTCGGCCGATGAGTGGCGTTATGAACCTGGAAGGCTTGAAGCTATCTCTGCAGCGTGATTTTGCTATCTGGGAGACATGTTTTGTGTGGCACGGCTGTTCAGACTCTGAGTTCAGAGCTCAGCAGGGACTGCAAACACGTGCTTCGTTTTGCTACGTGATCTTGCATCTGGTATCAGATGGCCTGGTGGCTGTAAGCACCCAGGCTTTGTCCAAGTGTAAAATCTGAGCCTTGGCTAGTAGCAAGGAGAATGAGGAAATGACTCTTCCTTCAAACTGGCTTTTTGGGAGCCACAGCAATTATTTTGAAATTGAGGTTTTCATATGTTAACAAAAGTAAACAATCATCTCTACCAGAAAAGCACTAGCTATTACTGAATAGGAATGATGTTGTATCTGACTTCACAGCAGCTCCCTCCTGACCTGTGGGAGCTCGCTAAGCTGAAGGGAAGGGACAGCATAGGTTGTCATTCTACAAGACTAGCAGTTTATGTGCATTTATCACTGAAAACTCTTAGTGTAACAGTTCTGCATAAGAGGGAGTCTTGCAGCTGAATGAGAACAAAGTTTGAGACAGAAATACCTAGCTGAAGTTCTCTAATCTCTGCAAGGTAGTGACACTAAATTGTCATTGTGGGCACTCCTCATAGGATTGGCAGATGATGCAAGAAAAACTCTGCAAATGCTAAGGACTACTCTAGCTAGGAGGGATTGCCTCCGAAATTTCTCAGCAGGGACATCTCTGCAAGCTTACCTAGGTAGTAGTGCTCACCTCAAGAGCAGTAAGGAATTGCTGCCTTTCTGAGGGTAATAGTGCTATATGTTTTAGTTTGGTCTGGGAACTTGGGCCTGATGTGTCAGCTCTGGCAGGTGGAAATGAGAAGAGTCATTGCTGTCCTTAGGCTCATCTTAGGAGAAAGAGAACTGAACTAACAGGCTGGGAATCCTTAGGCTGATATTTTACACTGAAATGCAAAGTTGCTTCAAAAGCCAGCAAGTTGAGCAGTTGAGGCAAATTTTGATTATAAGACTAAATCTTGAATGTGAGGAATTTAATTGTAGAAATGTAAGTAGCTTGCTCCTGAACGTAGAGCTGTGTGACACCATATTGAAGACATCTAGGAGGCCCTGCAGGCTGTACTGCTGGCGGGTATCCACTGTGAAATTAATCCCTGGAGGTTTCGCACTGCCAAGTGACTTATAAGCACTGATCTGATATCTTCCTCTGTACTTGCAAAACTGGAATTGCATTGATATGCAAGAGTACTATTAAATAATATACCACAACCATGTCATAAAATAATATATGTTAGAAAGAACTTCTGGAGGTCATCTAATCCAATGTACTGCTCAAGGCAGAGTGAGTCAAATACACGCCTGAGCAGCAGAAATGCAGGATGCCTTGCTTGTCATTATCATGAGTATATCCTCATCATTTTCAGGTAGATGGATTCATCAGTAGTTTTGCAGTTGATTTTGAAAAATAGCAAACTTGTTTGGCTCATTGATCAGTAGTAAGGATTCCATCAGCAAAGCATGCTTGAATTAAAGGCTTCTTTCCTCAAAGATCACAGAGAGGATTACAGTGTATATTAATTGTGTTCTGCATAATCTCTCACTTTTACTTCTGCTGTAAAGGAGATCACAGATTATGAAGTTGCGAGTATAATGGCTGAGAAGCACAAGGAAATGTCCCAGCACTTAATAAATGCCTTCCCCTCACCCCCACTCAGCAAACAACTAGTTGACTTTGTTAGGCAAGAGCTTGCAATGCTGTTCATCTGTAAAACTGTTTCTTTCACAACAGTCAGTGGGACCCGGAGGGAAAGAAATGATTCCTTACAAACTGCCTGACCTTGTGACATGTTTAGATGTGCACATCTATTTGCTTGAAGCCCAGAAAATACTGGGTTACATAAGAAGCTGAACTACAAAATATGTAGTCCTCATATAAACTGTCAATGTAGTTCCCTCAATCAAATGCAGTTAGCAGTGTTCTAGGACCTATTCACCATCTTCTACTCTAAACGTTCCTGAGGGAAAAATAGTATACTTGGCTCCATGCATGCTTCAGAGGATTTCTGAAGAAAGATAGCCTATTGCCTAATATATTTTCAGGTAGGACTAATTTCCTTATAGCAGACTTTGTTTTCTTGATGTTGGTCGTAGTCTAGAAGCCCTTGGAGTAACATAGGGTAAACAAGAATTCTAATCAGAGAAGGCTGTACAGTCCCCTGGAAAAGGAGCGAGAAGAAAACATAAAAGCAGTCTTAGACTATTGCTTAGCCTAGCAATCCCGCTACTTAGGATATGGAAAGTCATTAGACAATGTCTCTGGAATTTATGGAAAAGAAGAATTATCATCTCTGCCAACATCCTCCAGGTAAGATGATGTAGAACAAAAAAGTACTGAGCTAATATTTCATATGGAGGTATTGGCTATCATTTTTACTACTACTTGAAGTTCTTAAGTATGCCTCTGAAATAATTTTAAAGTGTGAACAGCATTCTGGAGTTATTGCTTAATTTTTGGAATGACTTTTCAGTTCATAGAGCAGTGTGTAGCATGGCCTGTGGAGGAAAGATTTCATGCTAATGAGTTGTTCTAGAAGAGTAAAAATGCTTATTCTATCAAAATCTCAGTAAATTAGACTGTTCACCACTTCCAGAATACTACTTTTATATTTCAGTTGTTATATCTGATAATGTAATAAATGGACAGGAAGCAAAACTCTATAAATTGGTCTCATACTGTTCTTTGTTCTCGGCCCTTCTGTAAAAGGCTTAAAGTATCAGAGCAGCCATACAGAAAGGGCCTTGCATGTCTCCTTCCGTATGGTTGTGGATTTTGTCTTGTCAGGAAAGTATTCAGTGATTAAGCTCCTACTCATAAATTTCCAGTTGTTTTTATGTTCCACTAAGGGTAAATTGTGTGGCTAAAACCCCATCATGCTGACAGGGCACCAGAGCATCCTGATTTACCTCCTATGATGCTTTAAGGCTTTCTTCAAACACTGCAGCTGAACAGAAACAAAGTTGCTAGGCCGAATGAATAGTATGTTAGCCAATATAGTAGTTTCTGTGCTCCCAGTGTAAAGGGTAAACTGGTACTAACTGAACTTGCAATGCATTTTTGCTTAAAGAATCAAGGTATTGATTACTAATAGGAATGCTGTGGGCTTGTCTAAATTGTGGCTTTAGCAGTCACTGTGCTTTGTGGGTGTAGATATAGCCTGTTTGATTAAAAGAACCCACGGAAATATGCATTAATAGTCTTTTGTTCCTGCAACTTACTTACCAGTCACCCGCTAAAATTTTCTTAGGACCTCACTGACTTTACAAGTTATTTGTTCTTACACCTGGGGACTGTGGGGAAATGACTTCCTACACCAAAGGAATGGATTGGGTGAGCTTACTGATGTGTTTTTTTTCCCCTCAGTTTGCTTTAATTTATGTGAATAATCCCTAATAGTTTGTTTATTTCTAACCACTTTTTAACATAGACTTGTCTCTCTGGGCTCCAGAAGTTAAACACAGCATCCTACTTTCTTGCGTTGCTGCTGCTTGTCACAAGTGCTAGTTACTCTGCTCAGTGTTTGATTTGCATCGCAAAAGAACAACTTGGTTGCTGTTTATGAGCTTGCTCCTGCTCCTTATTTACTATGTGCTGCCTAACTATCACTATACTGTACATGGATATAAAGTAAGTGAACGGACTGTTGGCAGAAGCTTGAGCATGTGCTTCTGATGAATGTTTTAAGGATTTTGTAGGCCTAAGCAAGTTACAAGGCTTTGAAGCTTTTCAAGCAATGGTAACAAAAATAGCAAGAGCGTAGCATAAGAAGCTAGAGTGAGGCTGAAAGGAAAGTTGAGGCTAACTTGTCTGTATTTGATGTCTGTAGTGTTTATTTAATTTAAAACTACTGGAAGGAATTAATCTTACTTTAAAAAAAAATACATTACCATTTCCCCTCTAAGCTAAGGGGTGCTATTTCTGTCTTTTCAGATGTCTTCTAGCAAAAAACAAAGTTTAGCATTTTGCACATTACCACTACTTCACATTAAAGAAAGAATTAGACTGTAGAGCATTCTACTGCTCAAGTTATGAAGCTTTTCCATACTAGCTTGGTGAAATCCCGTCTTGCTTTTCTTCCCTGGCACACCAAATCTGGTTACAACTAAGGACTTCCTTGCTGAAATAACCAACCTTGACAAGTAGCAGAGGTTTAGATTTCATGATGTTATGAGAAGAATCTGAATGCATTTTATTCAGAGTTGCTGATGCCATTTAATCCTGCTAATCAATTGGAAGTTAATTTCAAGCCTGTCCTAGTTGGACTCAGCTAGCAATATGCACCTGCTGTTTCCTTCCCTAAAGTGTAAATGTGAAAGCATAAGCCACTGTTTTGCAGAACACTTCCTTGGACAAAGAAGATGCATCTGTAGTTGACATTTGCTTGTATTTTATATCAGGTAGCAAGATGCAGTGACTTTTTCTGAAAATCTCATCTACTATGTTTTTTGTAGAACACCTGCAAGTCTGCAGTCCTATTCTAATTAAAAATATATTTCCTGTATTAAAGTACATAAGCACACTTGTAAAATTAATTGCAAATGAGAGGCAAATCTTTCCATCAGGTTTGATATATATCGTAGTCCCTGCTCTTAGAACTTGAGTTGGCTTAAATCAAGGACAGTAGATATAGGAAGATAATGGGGTGACAGGTGTGTAGATAGCATTGCTAAGTCTCTGTTAAATTTATGTCCAATAAGATCTCCTTGCCTTCTTGCTTGCTTCTTAAAGAGATTAAAAATGTACAGAAAATTTCAAACATTTATTTCTTTTAATGAAGCTGAAGGTGAAGCAGAAGGTGCAATTAGATTACTTCATGATTACCTACACAGGAAAGACTTTGGTACAGTTTATGTATCAAAAATCCCTTGCCTAGATTCAGGTACCTTATAGCAAGCCTTGAAACTTAGGAACGTGTGATTTTTTCAGATTAGTGTTGGAATTACTTGGCTGAAGTCTGGCACTAGACAAAGTCAAATGAGCTGATGTCAGCCTTAAAAGTACACACCTGCAAGAGGCTTCAAGGTTAATATTTTCAAGTGTCAGAACTGGAACTGTAAATGTAGGTTGGGTGCCTTTCTGCAAGAGTCCAGATTGGTCAGGTGGTTGGATGGGGCTTACTTAACTGCTATAGATATGAGAGTTTCATTAGTCAGTGCTCACATGTGGCTCGGCCACAGTGGTTCTCTATTGCTTTAAAAATGGAAACCATGGTTGAAAGACTGTCTGACAGCTGAGGAAATGCATGCAGCAGTTGTCCAGCAGTTGCTGGCAGTCACTGCACTGTGGCTGCTGCTGTCTTTGGAGGGAGGCTGCTCTGCAGGAGATTGCACAGACATGGTCATGTGCTGGCAGCTTTCATTCAGTCTGTTCTGTTAATGCGAAACTAGCTCTGTCAATGGTTGTTCAAGCAATGGTGTCATACTGAACTGGTGCAGCTGATGTGTTAGTCGTATCCCTGTCTGACAGTTATTTGAGGAGACAAGTCATCTAAAATGGGTACAGTCAGATTTGCCAGATCTAATCCGTCACTGCCCTTCTCTGGTCTCAGGAAGAAGTGCTACATGTGGTTTTCATGCTGAAATACTGATTTGATGCTATGCCCTGGTAGCAAGCAATCTATATCAGGGTGTCATTTTTGTGGCAGCAATTACTAGTTCGCTTTGCTATCCTATTCTGGTCCCAAGTTCATGTGACTTGCTTGGCAGTTAACAAACTTGCAGAAATTAAACATAAGTTTTGGGGAGGTTTTTGGGAGGTGGGTAAGGCATCTCTACAGCTTCTCTACATCAGTGGCTCTCAATTAGGAATCAAAGGGGGAAGCAAATTTGACTGTATGGGCATAATTTCCAGTTAGCTGAAAATGACTCTGAGTTCCCATTTCCTTCGTCTAGATGTTATTAATAGGCTGCAGCCTCAAAAGTCTTATTTCTTCCTTTTAAAGCCAATTCAGTAACATTATACTAACAGTCTACGAAAAGATAGCTACAGAAGACTTGGGAATTGCTTGAATTTGGCTTCTACACAGACTGTCTGAAAGTGGGTTTTGGCCTTTGCTTGTTTATCTTGAAGCATTTAGCTTGAAGGATAGCAATCCTTCCTAGTTCAGTTTATTTGTGTATTTGAACTGAAAGAACACAGTAACAAATTTGTTGAATTCACTTCCCCCCCACCCCCCACAAAAAATTGTACAAGCTATGTTAATAGTATTCTGGTTATCTGCGTCTTAAGAAAAGCACTAAATGCCCAGAAAAGGGAGAGGAGGTTTTTTTAAAGGGCAAGTTGTGATTTTAATATGCTGTGTAATAGGTAGCTCGTTACCTATTTTTCCATAAATATAAGTCCCAAATCCAAATCTATCCCATTTGTTATGAATCAATATAATCTCTCATGCTAGGCAGGATTTGCCTCTGAATGCTGCAGGAAGCAGGCCTGTTCTTTAAGTATCTTTGAGTATTGAGTATTCAGATTCAAGGCTGGCACTGATCAAGAAAGGCTGTGCTTGGACTTGTTTTAATCTTTGGCAGCTTTTTAGAAAAGACCAGTGCTCATTTACACTTACGTGGAGCCAAATACAGAGTTCTCACTGTGACTTACTAATGTAAAGTCAATAACTTTTTGTTCTTGATAGCGTCTGAATTTTTAGCAATGCTGTTGTAAAAATGAACCTTGTCCTTGGTATTTGGATGAGTATTAGTTATTTCCTGCATTGCATAACTTTTTTCCGGTTAGATGTCTTTTATATTTTACCTAGAAAGTAGCTGTTTAACTACTCTGTTAGTTGATACCACTACTAATGCATGCTTTGTTGCTAAAAGTATAAGCCACCTATCTTCCTGTAGCATAGTTGATAAAGATCAGTTTCTTTTATCCACTTTACCTTTTCTTGATGCTTGTTTTCAACTTGAGCATGATGCTGGTTGAGCTAGAGGCCACTTCTTCTGAAATGCAGACTACAAAACAGCTGGGTGGGATAGGGACTACTGCTATACTAGCAAATGCATCTACTCAACACAAGCATAACCTCTTTATACTGCAGTACAAAAAGGAAGGCCAGAATGTAACCAGCTACTGTAATGAGACTCTACCGGGATGGGTTCATGATGTACTTGGCCACAATTGGGCTTGTTTCAGCGGACAGAAGATTTCTTCATCTCCCTCAGATGTTCATATAAACCAACTGCCTTTCCAGAAGCCCAGGGGAAGGTAAGCCAACAGATAAGTGGCCTGTCACTGAAATAAAACATTTGGTAACTCTCTCTCAGGGTTCAGCCTGAACCATGCAGACCAGTTTTGTGACTAACTGAACACTGTTAATGCCAGTACTTCACATGTGTTAAATAAAGGAGACCAGATTGCATTGTGAGAACAAGCTCTTCAAGGCCTTAACAAATGATGTTACTGGTAGTCTTGCGAGTTAACCTGAATGCCCAAAGACAGGGGAGGATGTGGCTGCACCTTTAGTCTGTGGCTTCCAGCCATTTCTGTTAAAGCCCAGTTACAAATCTGATACGTCTAAAGGAGATGATTGTGTCCTTCTAGTTAAAGGCTGACTCAAATGTCAGGAGCCTTACCCTGAATCAAATTACTGCATATCTCTTTATCGGTACCTTCTATAAGAGTCTGTCAGAATTAATGCTGTTGACAAGCACCTTCTCCGTATTTAGTTTGAGGAATGCTTTTTACCCTTTGATCCCAATCCTTCTCTTATTGTTTTGTTTGATTTCATTTACAGACTTTCAAGCAGACGTTACGTACACAATTTTGACTTCGTAAATGCTATCAATACTCTCCAGAAGTCCTGGAGAGCAACAAGATACCAGGAATATGAGAACCTTGCCCTGGAAGAGCTAACCAGAAGAGCTGGGGGTCTCTATTCCAGAGTCCCAAGGTACTAAGGCCTCTTGCTTTGCTCTAGACCTTCCACCCAGTACTGTAAATATTTGCTGTGTTTGTGCTCTTCCTAGCTGGGTTTTTGGCTTATAGTTCAGATGCATAATCATGTTTCAAGCTCTTCTGGCTCATTTTCGTGGAGTGCCAACACGTTTCTTGGTCTAAATTACTATTTTAAGCATCTGTTGTCTCAAGCAGTTGAGATAAATGGGGTCATCCACCCTTTCATCTTGCCAAGTAGCTTGCTGCTGTGCAGAGGAGAGGTGGGAATAGTCTCCGTTCCCATCCTGCACACCTCTCTACCCATTAGCTGCTTGCCATAGCCATAACTCTCTGACTAGTTCATATTTTCAGTTAAAAAGCAGTGAAGCACATTCTCCTTTTAAACATAAACAGTCAGGTTTTTCTGAGGGAAGTCCTTGGTTACTATGGCAATTTGCCTTGCCTGTGATGAGGGTCCTTCCCTGACTGGAGCAAAGTGATGTCTCAGTTTCTTTAGTGAAGTAGTGTGAAGTAGGCCCAAAAGATCATTTGCGGTCTTGCAGACAATGGGGATGGAGATGTGTGCATGGTCTTCCTTACCTCGCTAGTCTGAGAACTAAGAATTCTTTCATCTGAACTTTCCCTTCTTGAAAGCAGTTTTGCTTTCATTGTGTTTTACTTTTTCCCCTTCTAATCTATTCTGATGCTGCCACTGACCTTTCCAAGTAGGAGCAATTGTATGTTTGGAGGAAAAGTCTTATAATAAAATTATGATCTACGTGAGTATTGTACAAATGATCATGGCGTCATCCTATAGACAAATCTCCATAAAAGCACAGTGTTAAATACAAAAACATATCTGGAAACTCTGTGGCACTGTGCAGTGCCATGACAGTATTATGTTCTTCCCCCCTGCCCTATGCTTTAGGAACAGACACCATGGTGGCACTTAATGCTTGTTCCAGTCATGTGTCAAGTCATGTGAATGTTTAACATATGACTTGCTGATATGTATGATCATTGCTTGGCTGCAAGTGGTAAATGAGGATGAGTAGCATTCAGAAGTGTTTGAACAGTTGCAGTAAAACTTGCTCCAAGGAAATCTCCTGGGGAAGCAGAACTGCAGTTATTTAAGTGTTGATGTCACTGTCTGTGTCTGCAGTTGAACAGTCTGCAGTTGCTGTCAGTTCATGCTGCCAGGGCAAGGTACCTTCTGCAGTCATAGATACCTGCCCTTCATATCTTATGCTAGCAGAGATGTAAAATAGCTCTTGTAGAGCTGCTCCACCTCAGTTAACGAGTTATCTCAGCACCTCAAATTAGTTCAAAAGTATTTTGACCTAACCAGTTTGTGGACACTTCATAATATAGTATCCTCTGGGGAAGTATCTCTCTGCAAAGATGGAGGCTATCTGAAATTGTGTAGCGTGAAATTAAGCAACCAGTGGAAGCCAGAAGATGACAACTGAGTATTTCTGTGAATGTTTCCTTCCCTGGCGTGTGACACGTTACTCAAAGTGTATTCTCATTTTTAGACCAAAGCCTGCACCTGTAACACCTGAATTACTCAAAAAAGCTTCAAGCTTGCCAGAATCCTGGGACTGGAGAAATGTGAATGGTGTTAACTATGTCAGTCCTGTTCGGAATCAAGGTAAAAGTTCAAAACTCTTTAAATGAAATTCTCTAGAGCTCCTTTGATAGATTCTACAATTTGCTGTTAATATGAAGGCTTTTCATCCCACCTGTGTGGTGTCTTGCTATTGACAGATTGCACTTCTGCTGTGAACACCCTGTGGAAAAAAGGTTGAGGTTCTGGCTGACAATACTGTGCCAAAATCGGAGGTGGTACTGGCTTATCCAAGCAGCCATGTCTTTTACTGGAGTAGAAGCCAATTACTATAGTGCCCTGCATAGAGAGCTTTTAAGTTTTGTCCAAACGGTCTCAGTCATGGCTGTCTGCACACTGACAGAACTGATGCATAGTTAATTCTTTCACTAACTTCTGCTGATAGCAAATTGTCATGTAATTTTAAATTATTTTCATGACTTTATTTATTATACTGCCCCCCAAATTTTATCATTCCAATAACTTCAAAACTAACTTAAATGTCTTGTTGCAAGAGGAGGTTTCTGGCACTCTGAAGAGAGTATGTACTGGTAAATACTTAAAAACATTTGTTTCCTTTTTCCTACAATAGGCAAGTATTTAGCTGAAAGTAAACTTAAACCTAAATGGTATCCTTCTATTCTAGAGATGGATGCTATTACAGCATATGTTGTAAGAAATACCTGTTCCACCTCTGAATCGGCTAGCTCCCTCCTGGAAGCCAGGAGTGGACGCAGTTAATATGTCCCTTCCCTGCCGCACCTTTTCCAAATAATTTGCCTCTGCTGGTAGCTTTCCAGCTGCAATCAGACTGCCAACCTTGGAGGGGAATGGAACGTAGTGTTAGTGGCAGGGTATGGGGTGGGGGGAGCACCTTAAGTCATTGGTTTCAGTTATGGCTTGGCTTTTCTACCAAAATCTGTCAGCTGGATTTTTGGTAGTAAAAAAGGCATAGGAGGGCTGTAGGAGTTGTGGCTCCTAAGCTGTCACATCATATCACTTGATAGCGTGAAAGATGGCAGCAAGAAATAATATAGTCTTGCATAAGTACAGGTCTCAGACCTGTACTTTCTTCTGATGTGAACTGTGGATCCCGAGAGCTGTTTTACCCATTTCAAACCAAGGGAGGAACACTTGGTCCTAAATTTCCCTTTCCTTATCATTGCTTCAAGGGCTCTCTAAATGAGTAATGGTCTGCTGCTTCCAATAATAAAGCTGCCCATACTTTTCATGTAATATGAGAATCCATGCTGAATATGTTAAATGTCTGTAGAATATGCATTCTGCTCCATTAAATAGGAATCTTGGCTTGCTGTCTCAGAAAAACCCAAAAGTTGATCTTAAACAAATGGTGCTGACATACCAATTAAGTCTTGCTTATTGTAGTTTATGTGATTTGCTGAGGCAGTGGATATCGATGCTTCATTAAAATGATGGGATAGAGATATTTAGTTGTACATTGTTAAAATTATTAGGTGGCTAATTGGAAAATGCCATGGGGAAGAAGGCTATAAACAGTATGATACATGCTGTCTGGTATATGTGGAGAATTGTATGAACTGGAAGATCATGGTTTCACAGATCTCTCATATCCTTGTGGAGTCATTAGTCTTGAATATCTAAAGAGAAATTTGGCATCTGAAGTGGACAAGGACTATAAAGAATGCACATTTCCACTTTAAAATACTCTGAGAGATAGGCTTCATGCAACTACAGTTGTTATCAGCAAATATAATCAAAAACAACTTGCTAACATTTCCCATAGTCAGGAAAGGAAAAGGTTGAGTTCTTAAGGTGTTTATAGTGCAGTAACTGCATTATATTAAAGCAAGACTCAGAATCAGAAGGGGGAAAAAAAGTAAAGGAGCTCTGGACTTTCTCTGAGACAAAAGTATATATTCATTGAAGATACAGGTTTTGTCATTGCTTGTTATCAACTTTACTAGAGGGAGAGGATGGGAACCTACAGATTTCATTAGCCTTAGTGCTCTTCCAACATTTTCTGACTCCTGCGAGCTTTCTCCTCAAAGTAGGTAAAAGCCTGGACAGCTGGTTCTTCTCTATGTGCTCTGTGTCCTATTATCATTCTTTATAACAATCTTTTCCTACAAAGTCAGTTGAATCTAATGATACTGAAGCTTTAATTAACTCTAGAATAGCATTCGTGGGACTCCACAGAAATGCAACTGCTCTTGCAGTTATGCTGGTTCTCTGATAGTTAAAATGTAGCTGTCTCATTAAAAGCCTCTCATGTACCACTGTGGTGATAGTGAAGACATCCCAACATGGTAACTGATTTCAGAATAAAAAACGTGCATTAATTGTTTTTTGACATGCTTTTTGCACACAATGCAGAGTTTTCTGTGGCATGGCTAATCTCAGATGTTGAGTGGGAGGCACCTTTTGCTGCTTCAGTCAGCCCTGCTGGGCAAAGCATTCACGTTCAAGCTGTTTTTGCCCCTTCTCCTCAGAGATACGTCTAACTGAGTAAAGGTGCAGTTTCAGAGTCCTGCTTTTGTAATAGCTCTGGTTTATTGAGCTGTGTAGGTGTATAAAAAGTATTTTGTTTTGTTCAGGCTTGTCCTTCCTTTTCATAGTTCTGCAATATTTGACTTACGTGCTGTCAGGAAACAAAAGGTAATCGGGCACCTTGGTGACAATCAGTAGATAAAATAGGACCTCATCCAAGTAATTCTTCCCTGTGATGCTTGTCATTCCACTTTCAAAGGTTCTTAGAGTGTTACAGAAGTTCCCAGGAAGTGAAGAGGCCTAAAACTAAGAAGCAATAGCAAGTTTTGTTCCAAAAGTAAGGGAGGTAAGGAATAAGCTGTCTGTCAGACAACAGAAGGGAAATTGCCTCTGAAAAACCAGTGTACAATTACATGCCCTTGGGAAGTAAGGTGAACAAGGATGAACTAAATCAAACGTACTATTTATACTGTTAGACCCTTGAGTTATTTTAGGGATAGCTGTATAAGTAGAGTATTTTTTTTAATGCTGTAATTTACAGCTGAAATCAACTGAGAAGTTGAAATTAGGTCGGACAATATTGACAGCATTCATTTAAAATATTTCGTTGCCTCTTAGCAGTTTTCTTCTGTAGAAGGTTATAATCTGAGGCAGAAAGTTATGAGCCTTCTCTGCACTGTACCTATAGGTTCATTCTGAAGAAGTAGCATAACTCTTAAATGTTACAGCTAGGATGAATTGAAGAGTCATGAAGTCTCTTATTCTGAAATAAATTCAGTGTTACTTAAAAAGCTGTTCAAATCATGTTTTAAATGGATAGGATTACCTACCTAGTAGGTAGGATTACCTACCTATTTAAAAGCTAATGCATATTTAAAGATTTTTCTAGATCAGTGTCTAACTTCTAATTGTTGTAAGGCAGTATGGCAGACTTTGACTCTCTACAGTCGCCTTCCATAATATTTGCACTTGTGTGGAGGTGCTTGCTTACATTACTGACTGCTTTTCATGGTCATGGTTTTCTTTTTTCTCTTCCTCAGCCTCATGTGGCAGCTGCTATGCGTTTTCTTCAGTGGGCATGCTGGAAGCAAGAATACGTATCCTAACAAACAATACTCAAAAACCCATCTTTAGTCCCCAGCAGGTTGTATCTTGCAGCCAGTATTCTCAGGGTAAGTATACTAGTATACAAAATCACTTTCTGTAGTGATGACATTGCAGGAGACAGCATATTCGAAACTTTCATGCCTCTCCCCCACCCTCACCTCTCTCACAGTTTAGTTCTCTCACAGTGCTCACAGTCCTAACGTATCTGACAGCCTATACTTTACAATCCTTCAGAAAAACAAGTATTATTAAAAAATATATATATATCCAGAAATTATGAACTCACCTTATTGTAAGGATGCGTTTGAGTGAGGAGTAGGTGGCGCTGCTCTAAGGACTTAGATCATAATTAGATCCCCCTTGGGGAGGGGGAATAACTAAGGAGCTCAACTGAAAAGATAGGCAAGTTGCAAAGCATGCCTAGAAAGAGTGAAACCAAATACGAAAAGCCTATGCAAAGGGAGGAGGAACATATGGGGAAGAAGAGATGACAGACAGAGCAAAAGCAATGACTAAGGCTCTTTAAAGGACAGTGTGCATATTATGACAGCTTTTTTACTGTGTGTAGCTGATTACTGTAGCTGATGGGAATGTCAGGAGCAAATGGATGAGGAAGTGGTCCATGCGTTAGTGTTCCTACTATAGCTCCCTCTGTGATTGGCTGATGTGTTCTGTTTCAGGAGAGTTAGCTGTTACCAATCTAATATGAAATATTAGGTTATCTGAATAACTGCAATCTATTTTCAATACTATATCCAAAAGTGTTCCAGAAGATTTGAGTGGGAAACTCTCCCACCTCAAAAGTAACTCTCCAAGGGAGTAACCAGATATTTTTTGTTTAGGTTGTGATGGTGGCTTTCCATACCTCATTGCTGGAAAGTATGTCCAAGACTTTGGCATTGTGGAAGAAGACTGCTTCCCCTACACAGCCGAAGATTCTCCATGCACTTTCAAGCACAACTGTTATCACTACTACACTTCTCAGTATCACTATGTTGGTGGTTTCTATGGAGGTTGCAATGAAGCCCTGATGAAACTTGAGCTTGTTCTGGGTGGGCCAATGGCTGTTGCCTTTGAAGTTTATAGTGATTTCATGCTCTATAAAGAGGGAATCTACCATCACACTGGGCTGCAGGATGACTTCAACCCTTTTGAACTGACCAATCATGCTGTCTTGCTGGTGGGCTATGGTAAAGATCCAGAAAGTGGTGAGAAGTTCTGGATTGTGAAGAACAGCTGGGGCACCTCATGGGGGGAGGATGGTTACTTCAGAATCCGCCGTGGTACTGATGAATGCGCAATTGAGAGCATTGCGGTGGCTGCAACTCCTATTCCAAAATTGTAAATGCAAAGATTCTGATCCAGTGCCTTGTCTGAGAAGCAAACCTCCAGCTGTAAGAACATTCTGATTGTTAGAAGAGACTGCAGTTAACATCTGTCCTTATCTTAAACAGGGGAGCTTTATGAAGCCCTCCAGAGGAGGAGCAATTTCCCTCAGGATAAATTGTGTGGACACTGGATAACTCTGCTCTATACACTGTAGGTTCCTTTCTGGAGCCTGACAGCAATCAGCTAGAATGCAATTGCCATTACAGTAACAGTGGTGATGGCTATTCATCGCTGGATATAAATCTTCAGTCACCACTTGAGTTTTTCTTCCATGGACAACCCTGAAGTTTAGGTCTCTAGATTATCATGACAGTTACTTTTCTCTGTTTTAAAAGGACACTGTAGTGCCTTACTTCTCAGAAATCAGGAAATCATTGCAATTTAGAGGGTAAGCGTGAATAGGGATGAGGGAGAGGGAATAGGTAATTATGCTGATTAAAAGGAAAATTTTAAGGCTTCACGTATTTAGCAAAAGCTCCATGTCAAGCCCTTACGACCATAAAAAATAATTCTACATCTTAGGCTGTTACTAGATATTTCTGGCTCTGGATTTTATTACTGTGCTTTGAAGTTGATCACTCAATTCAATAAAAGTTACCCCACTCCTGTAGGAGTTTGTACCTCTGAGAGTAGTTGGTTGTTTATTTCTACGACCTATCCCAAGTTTTGAACTTCTTGAAATTCTTCTTGTCAAGATCGTTGCTCTTGCGGGATTTAGGCTGATGAGGAAGGAGAATGAGAATAACTAGGAGTAATCCAACTGAGGCCAAGGCTTTCATAGCAACACCAAGCAGGTTGCGATGCTAGATTGTCTAGTAGTCTTTGTTGTAGATATGGAGCAATTCGTTAAGTAAACTGACTAATTCCCCCATAATCATGCTTAAACCCTCTGTTCATGCATTTCAAGCATGCAAGGTAAAAAAGGGAGTTGGAAGAAGAATGGAATTGCTGCAGTTGCAAATAGGGAACTACTTCTTTCTAAATGAAACTCTGATACAACATAGGACTTGGTTAATGTAGTACCAGTCTCTGCTGTTCTTTGCGTGAGTAAGAAAGTTAAATGTGTAAGCAAAAGTTAAAATCCAGCTTCATGGGTAGAAGATAGATCCTTCAGTAATCTTCTGTTAAAATAGTAATAGTAGCAGTTAGTATTTTACTTTAATTGGATCCATCTTTTGGGATGGGGGGGTTGCCATAAGTAGGAAAAGAAAGACAAATAGAGCTAGTTGTCAATTTATAATCAAAAGTCCCATTTAACTTAGATGGAGAACTTTCTTCTAGTAATGGGATTTCAAAAGAACTGCTTGACTCTGATTTGTTCAAGCTGAGGGATAGGGGAGGAATGGCTTTGTGTGTGTGTGGTTCTTCCCTGCCCCCAGCTTTCTGAACCTCCTTCCAAAAAAAAATACCAGACTATTTGGAAACTTAGAGCTTCTTCTGGGGGCAGAGTCTTAACAAGAACTTCCACCATAGTTTATATTGTGCACTGAATCTCTTTAGCTGAGGGAATGGCTGGAGGAAGAAAAGAGCAGACGCCTCCTTGTTTCTGCCTGCTCTGCTTCTTCAGGGTTGCTGCAAAACTGGGATCCCTCTTATGAGGACGTGACCTTTCATTAGGGGCTGTAGTACACCATGAAGACAAGATTTTTCTCCCAGACACCTGAATATATTGCCTGAAATACACAACTGCACACAGAGCACCTTTTTATCTTGTACCTCCCTCTAACCTTGACTGCTCTGCCCTTCTTCCTCCTAAACCAGTGCTTTTCCTGGGGAGAGTGTTACTGGAGCGGGAGAGACAATATTACTTCCCCCACCCCTTTGGTGGAGCAGGGAGATGGACTGTAAGGGTATTGCTTTCCCAGACAATGGGAGCTTGGCTAGTCTATATTGTGTTATCACACAGTTATTAGACATGATGTTTCATGTGCTGACGAGCAGCTCTCAGTAGGCCACCACCAGTGTATATCCAGCCATTGATTTGAATTATATGAATAAAACTGAAGCTGAAATTGCTTGCAACGACACGATCTAGTATGGAAGAAATTGTCATCTGTGCCTTTGTTGTAGAAGACAAGACTATATGAGCTATGGTGTGATGCCAGCAGCACGCTTCCTTCTATGCTTATGTTACAGCTACCGGCTTGACCTGATTTGGATTATATGTTCTCTATGCATAAGTAGCCATGTTCACGCCAGTCTAAACTCATTAAGTGCAAAGCTAGTGTTCTGCTTACCAGTGCTCATCCTACCACACTGTGAGTGCCTGTGGTTTCAACACACCAGTGCAATGTGCTTTGAATATCGGATGTAAACAGATCTTTTCATGTAGTTACAGCTTTCAATGAATGCACCAGGTTCTTGGATTTCTTTAACGTTTCTAGTATCTTGTGGAGATTAGCTTGGTACAGGAATATAAAAGCTTAGTCGTTATTTTTACAATCCTCCAGCCATTAGAAAATTGGATCTTAATTGATTCATTATCACCAAATTACTGCTGATACTCAAGGCACTGCTAATACAAAAAGATGTACTATTCGCTATGCCTTGTATCATGTTAGTGCATGAGTTTTAAATAGGATTGTATTTTATTGTGTTAAAAATTACTATGTCTGTCTATAGTCCTGTCATTGCTTTTGCATGGCAGCTATACTAGTGCTAATGTAAGGATGGGAGTGTTCTTGGAATAGTCTACCATCATCACAACCCCTAATGATTGTAATCAGACCTATTTGTTTGCCTGGCTGCTTGCAGTATGTGAATGTCTCTACTGCATTTTGGAGTTACAGAAAGAACTGTAGAGCAATCAGCCTGCTGAAGCCATTAACCCGGCCAATGTGACTTACTTGGCTTCTAAACTTTTATTTGGGATTGGAGGCCAACTACAGGAAAAGTACATTTTATAGCCACAAGGTGAAGACTGCACAGAGCATTTCTTTCCCTGAGGCTAAAAAAGAAGCCAAAAACTTGGCTGTAGGGAGTATAGAAGATTCTGCACGTAAACTACTGTGCACAAAATAGATAACATGAAGAGATATAGGTCCCTGCAACTTTAGTTCACCTTTTGTAAGAGGCGATAGTTTGTCTGGGCAGCTTCTGCTTACAAGTGATGTGTTCCCTGGAGTAGCTTAAAATGAGGAACAAGCAGTCACCCAGGAGAACAGGTTTGGCAAATATGTCTTGCAGTGAACAAATAGGAGCCTGTTCTATTGAGCTTATCCAAGGAAGGTTAGTAGGTAATGTCACAACTGATAAATACTTATAGGAGAAACATAGCTGATGAAGCTGAGTACATATAGAGGATGAATGGGCTATAGCTGTCTTACAGTGTAATAAGTCATTAAAAGCTACTAAGGGCTGTGGTAAATTCTCCATCACTGTGAGCTGGGCATTCTCTAGTTTCATCACTTCTCTTGGCCCTTCAGACAATAATTACTCAGAGAAATCCTTTGGTTGGTTTATGAAGGCAGCCAGGCCAGATGATCATGATTCCTTCTCACTCTGTGCCCTACAGGCTTGAAATACGAAGTGATTTTGACAAGGGTTTGCTCAGGATATCTGCTGTGTTTAAGTCAGGTGAGTAGTCATTTTTGTCTATTTGTATATTAAAGAGGGAGTTAGATAAGCACCACTGATCAGATCTTAGTGACCTGAATAACTGTGAGAGGTGCCAGCCTCTCTAACGCCCTCATTTACACCACTGTGGTGGAGAGCAAAATAGCACTTCAACTGTAAAGTAAAGGGTATTAGCCAGGTTAGAAAGCTGTCCTAACACCCTTGTACTCAAACCGATTCACACCTAACTCTGGATTCCCCTACAGCCATGCGTTATACATGTAGACATATGTTTAGCTGCTTTTAAAAACGTCACGCTCAATCTGAACCAGTGGCTAATGGGAGAGCCCAAGCGTTTAAAAAAAAAAAAAAACTTTTCATATCCTGAACTACATGGGCAGTATGATAACCAAACAAAAGGTGGAAGCTTCCACTACAACATGAAATAATAAGATGTACTTGACTACCTGTTCGGAATATTAAATTTAAAGTAAAAAGGCTCACACCCTCTTCGGCTGAGAGCCAGGATAAACTGTGCTATCAGAAAAAAGTGTCAGTGCGTTCAGTTCAAGTAAGCTTAGATTTCTCTAGTGGTTGCTATGGTTTCCAGAAGTGATAGTAGGCTGAAGCAGTGTGTGTGTACTTTTGAAAAAAGAAAAACTTAAAAAAAAAAAAAAAGCATTTCATGGCAGCTGGGAAGTTATTAGTGACCTGAAAAATCAAATCAAAAGGTTTCCTCCCCAGATGGTCAGGTGGGGTGTATTAATAGAAATATCATTTTTATTGCTTCTCTGTGAATTACTGTTGAGGGCAGGAGGAGGGGTAGTTGAAGTCTTTCTGGATGGGCCACAAGGATAAAGGCACGTGCCTGTGCAAAAATGTTCTATATCTGTCATAGGAAAGGCACTGACATACGCTTCTGCCAATTATTCCTAATCACGTCATTTGGATTAACTGATTCGATCCTGCAGATGCTGTTTAATATGAGATGCACATGCTAAAATAATCTCTTTCTTCACAAAGCAATCTTTGCTATTTGCACTTCAAGAGATATATGAATGTTTATATTTCAAGTGATCCCCAGGACCCGACTTGCCTCATTAAATACTGAGAGAGTTTTTAAGGGTTGCGTAGAAGGGCTGATACCAGTTTAGCAATACAACAGGTTATAAATTTGAGCGCTATCAAAAGCATCGATTTTATTAAAAGTGATATCCTTGCCCTATGAGAATTTCAGCAGTTTGGAAAACATTGCGCATTCTTGCATGTCCAGAAATTCCAGTCTAGGTGTTCTACATGTAAGAAGGCAAAATTTTCCGTTCATCTTAACTAACAGAATCCTTAGGATTATATTTAATGAAGATAATACAATATATACAGCATGTGGATTTTTAAAAACCTTGTTTAATTATATGTTCTGTTACTCTATGTACTTATTCAACACTTGTGACAGTAAAAGAATATAAAGGGATAGCCTCTTCTGTTGTTTTGTTTAGGTGCTTAGCCGTGAAAAAATAGCATTTTTGGATCTGGAGTGCGCATGAGATTCTCTAAGATGTTTTCTCTCATTTGCAACTCAGGGAAACTGAGTAACTCGCAAGATAAATCCTGACCTCTGGGAGGCCTCTGCTTCACCTGGGAGGCAGACTATCTGAAACAACAATCATCTCCTGCATTTCTGCTCACAACTCTGCTTTTGGTTCCATCCCACCGCTTCCTACTCCCAGCCCCTTTGTGAGCCCCCCTTCTTCATCACAATTTCCGGAAATCTCTTGACCTACTTAAAATTGTGACCCTAGTTTGGGAATCTCTCGCTTAACCCTGCAAGTGTTTAGGCACAAACAGGCATTCGCAAGAAGCTGAACATTTGCAGCCTGCAGGTTACACTGAACTGTCACTTTACACAAAAGATTTCCCTTCTAAATCTCATACATTAGCAAGGCTGCTGAGGCTGTGAATTTTGTCAGTCAGTTAGTTACATTTCTCCCTCCTTTCCTGCAGCCCTCCATTAACCTTGGGATTATATGCATAGGTTTAAATTTCAGCAGGGTAATAATTGCAGGAAACTGCAT